TATCGGCATATCGGATATCGGCCAAAATCCCAATATCGTGCATCCCTAAAGTAAATAAACCAGAAACTACAGGCAAGGAACTCAGGAATCAGAAACTAGAAGACGCAAAGGGACACTAACATTAGGAATGAAGCAATGAAGACAATCCAGCAAAGATGAACTGCACAGGAGGTTTATATATAGGAGACAAATCACAGAATGAATGAGCTGATAGGGAGCAGGCGGGGAGAGGAGCTACTAAAGAGAATCTAAGGGGAAAGAAAAGAAACACTAGGGGGCAGCAAAGAATAACCAGTATCTAACTGTAACTAGGAAAGAAGCTTAAATTAACTAAAGGTAAATAAAACTAACGATTGACTAATTGAATTACTTAGATTTAAACTTTTTGCAGCACTGTTCCTATTTCTTTTCTGGCTTTCTGTATTTTTGAAACAAAGAGACGATTTGAAGTGTTTATGGAGATTGATTAGTTTTTTTGACCCACAGCTTGTCAGTGTGATGTAGATGGGACCCTTCCAGGAGTTTGTGACAGGAAGACCGGAGCGTGCATGTGCCGGCCGGGTGTCACCGGGACTCGCTGTGACTCGTGTAAACGAGAGCACTGCGACTCTTTCCCTGCCTGCGAACTTTGCCCAAACTGTTTCTTCACCCTGGACTCCCAGCGAAAGAACCTCAGCCTCGCTCTGGAGAAACTCGCTTCCAGAGGTCCATCTCTTCCCGGAGGCACCGGCGATCTTGGAAATCTGGGGCCACGCATTCGGGCTCTTGAGGCCAGCCTAAACTTGATCAGAGACTCTGTGTCCCAACCATCCAGCACTGCCTCCCAGCTTGATGATGCCCTGAGCCAGCTGGACAAACTGGAGTGAGTTCACTGCAAAAAATTGAATTCTAAATAAGTACGTTTTTATTAAAATAGGTGCATTTTTTTTTCTTGAATTGAGACGCAGGTGAGACAAATTCTTATTTATTTTTTCTATATTGTTTTTGCAGTTTTGCTTTTGGAATTTTTTGTCTGTGCACTGCAAAAACAACAAAGAAATAAGTAGAAATGTCTTAAATTAAGTGTATTTACCCTTAATTGGAGCAGGTTAATAAGACGGAATGAGATTTTATACACTTAAAATAA